AGCAGCCCCAGGCAGTGCCCAGGACAGGGGAACACGAGGTGGCACCGCGCTGTCTCACCGGGGAGTGTGGATGTACTGAGGCTCTGGCACCGGCGCGTAGTCCCCGAACAGCACCCTGGGGTTGTCAGCGAAGGGACCCACCACCTGCGGAGGGCAGAGGGGTGATGGTGGGCACTGGTAGCCCTGTGCCACCTGTGTGAGCGGGGTACAGAGCCAGCAGCAGCCCCTGGGTCACCGTGTCCCCCTGCCTGCCCTGTGCAGGGGCTCACCGCGAGGCGCTGGCCGGGCAGGTCCTGGGCCCGCAGGGGCAGAGTCCCCCGAATGTTCTTCAGCAGCACAAAGCTCTTGACAGCAGCTTCCAGCGAGAGGTTGCGGTGCTCAGGGCTCTGCACCACGCTCAGGTCCAGGGCACTGTAGGGGTTCATCTCTGGGGGGTCGAACTCCCCCAGCCGCATCCGCGTGTAGAAGAGGGGCCGGACTCGGTCACGCAGCATCTGCAGAGACCCCAACCCCAAAACCTCGGTTGTGCTTGGCAGGGACAGCCCGGGCTCCCTGCCCCCCTTGCCCTGCTCCCCTTGGCTCACCTGCAGCGTGATGTTGCCCATGGCCAGAGCCTGAGGGATGTGCATGAAGATGTTGTTCCTCATGCCATAGGAGAGCTCCAGGTTGCAGCCGGCGTTGACTGAGGCTGCCATGCCGGAGAGAAGGGAGAACACCCGTCACAGCCGTGGGATGCCCGGGGACCCCACACCCAGCCCGTGAGCTCACCGACTGCTGTCTCCAGGAAGGTGTGTGTGTAGTGGTGCCCCAGCATGATGAGCTCCAGGGCCCCCTCATCGCTCACCACGTACCCCTCGAAGCCCCACTCGCCACGCAGGATGTCCGTCAGCAGCTTCTTGTTGGCACAGGCGGGAACGCCATTGATCCTGTCAGAGAGGGGATGGAAGAGCCAGGCACCGGCCATGCCGTGGGCAGCCCAGCCCATGTGGCCCCCACCATGCTCCCAACCTGTTGTAGCTGCACATGAAGCTGAAGGAACCAGCACGGACACACGCCTGGAACTGGGGCAGGAAGGTCATGCGCCAGTCCCGCTCCAGCACCTGCAAGCGCCGCAGCAGAGCAGGGTCAGGAGTGCCCGGAGTGTCACCCGCCCTCCTGCCACCCCTGGACCCGCCACACTCGCCTGGGCGTCGAAGCTGAGCCTGGATTCGGGGATGTTCTCAGGGCCCCCGTGCACGCTGAAGTGTTTGCAGCCGGCGCTGGCCTTGATGTAGCGGGGG